TTGCAATAATAAAAACAATGTCGGATCAAAATGAAAAGTGAGAAAGATTTATTACTTGATTGATACAGCGCCTGTCATCAATTTATTGACTTATTGTTTTATTTGAAACAACAAGAAGAAGAATTCCCGAAAAATCTGAATAATCCAGAATTTAAAGAAAAGAAGAAAGTTTTTTTGTTTACAATTTCTTTCTTCTCATTTTGTTTTCATTGCATAAATCAATCCCTGTGAAATTTGAATATTCTGGTATGTGTGTAGTAAATAAACAGTAAAAAACAGCCAAAACATTGATCCCAAATCTCTTTAGTTTTTTCATCATCATCGAAAAAACAAAAAAACATCATAATGAATATGATGAAAAGAAATATTCTCAGAAATTCAGACTTGTCAATCGATACTTTTTTTCACTCTGTTTTTTTTACTTTGTTTTTTCATTCTTTTGACATGTTTTGATTGTTTCATTCTCTCGCTCTCTTGATTCAATTTCACTAAACAAAAAACCGAAAATGAACGGGAAAAAATCTCGTGCAAAAAAAAAACATCATCCATATCATCCTCATTCGTTGATGCAAAAACCAAGAAGAAGAAAAATGCACTATGGAAAATTGCAAAAATCTCATTGACTATTTTTATATTTTTGGATATTTTTGTTTTTTGCTTTGCTCTTGATTTGATTCTCTCTTTCTATAATCTTTTTACTGTAATGCATTTTGATGCAGTTTAGTGAATGAATGCATGAACAAAGGAAAAAAAGTGATGCGAAAAAAAGCATCTAAGAAAAAAATATCTAAGAAGAAATTCATTTTGATTGGCAGTTTGACAGTTTTTTTCATTCATTCATCGTAATTTTTTCTTTTCTTTTTCATTCATTCACTTCTTCTTGCTTTACATACTTTCCCTTGTTTGCTATTTGATGATGATGATGCTTTGTGAATTGAAATGAAAAAGAAGGATGCATCGCAGGCAAAAAAAACCAAAGGCAGTGAAGAAAGAAAACTTGAATATTGAAAAACTGAAAACTGAATATATCTATTTTGAAGAAGACATGAATAATGAAATACTGTGCCATTGATGATGATGATGATGATGAACTTCTTGTTTGTTTGTTTGATTTTCATAATATACCGAGAATATTGTGATGGAGAGAGGAAGAGAAAAACCATCTTAAGAGTTTTTCAAAGTTTGGATTTCTGTGTTTGATGCCAGTTATCATAATAAGAATGATAATTAACCCCTATTAAATCCTGAAGGAAAAAATTAAGTTTATTGATTTTGATTTGAATCATCAGTGTTTTTAAAAAGTTTTTGGAAAATCTTTTACTGAATAACCGAGAATTCATACGATTCATTTGAGTTTTTTTGCTTTGCATTTGAAATTTGAGCTGTCAATTTTTCAAGAATTTATTTTTCTCTGCTGTTTTTTTCTGATCTTCCATTATTGTATTTCATTGTTGACTTCTTCTTCTTCGTTTTTTTTTCTGTGGGTAAATGACTGTCGTCACCATTTCTAATTTCATTTCAGCTAAGATGGTTTAGTTTGGTTTAGTGTTTTTTCGACACTCAAACAGCTCAAGCCAAACCAAACCAGCAACTTTATTCTTTTAGCTTTCATTCATTCCAACCAAAAAGAGAAAAAAACCAAACCGAATGAAACAGAATTACAAAACATTAAGTAAATTTACTAAATGATAATGTAATAATGTAAGAAATATCATCCAAAAATGAATTTGAAATAAAAAAAAAAACATTAGATTTTCTTTTCAAAAAGAAAAACATTTTGTCAAATTCATCAGGTGTGTGTGTGTGTTTGTGTTAATGGAAATTAAATTGGAAAATAATTTTCTCATTTCAACAAACAGAAACAGAAAAGAAAATGATTGAATCAGAAAACTAACTGAACATTTTTTGATTTGATTTTGATTGTTTTTATATATAAGTATGATTGTTGTTGTTATTGTTATTTACAAAATGATAATTCCAAAATGATTTTTTCGTTGCCATCACATTTTTTCAAATCAAAATTTGTTATTCTTCACTGTTTGTCTCTTGTAATTTTTTTTTCTTTTTTCTTCAAACCAGATGGAGTGAATTCAATGGGCGAAACAAAACGACAACGTACATCATATACCAGATATCAAACATTAGAATTGGAAAAAGAATTTCATTTTAATCGTTATTTAACACGTAGACGTCGTATTGAAATTGCACATTCACTTTGTCTAAGTGAACGACAGATAAAAATTTGGTTTCAAAATCGTAGAATGAAATGGAAAAAAGAACATAAAATGCAAAGTGTTATACCACCACAATTACCTCAAATGCTTGGTCCAATTGATCATCATTTACATCATCATTTACATGGTGAAACAAAGGTAAAAGGGTAAATTATTGCT